AGGGGCTGAGAAAAGAGGATGTCAAGTTCGAAGCCAGCCTTGCCCACACAGAGGCCTTGTTTCAGAAAGTGAGAGAGAAAGGGGGGCGGGGGGAGAGGGAGAGGGAGGAGAAGGGAGGGGATGTCCTGAAACCTTATTGAAGCCCACCCTAGAGCCCAGGGCTGTCAAAGGAGCCCTGCATCTTTCCAGCTCTGTTCCCAGAAGTCTGCCGTGGGCCTTTTCCCTTGGGAAGTCCACTCTCTCCTGGCCCTGCCTTCCTGAGCCCTTCATCATCCCACATGGCTTAGCCCAGATCCAAGGTCCGATTAATTCTTCCTTGGGGTTTGGGGCTGGGTTTGGCTCAGGCCACTTTTACAGGCCTCAGAGTTCTGCCTTATTTAGGACTTCCTTGGGTACACCAATTTCTTTCTTTTTGTTTTGAGAGAGGGTTTTGCTACATAATTCAGCTTAGCCTTGAACTTGCTATATGTAGCCCAGGCAGGCCTCAAGCTCATACCTCTCAGAGTGCTGGAATTACAGGTAGGCACCACCAGGATCCTCCTGCCTCAGCCTCCTGAGTGCTGGAATTACAGGCATGCACAACAATGCCTGGTTCAAATGCCTATACTGATAATGCATTTTAAAAAATGTTTTTGCAGTGCTATGGGCAGAGCCCAGGGCCTCCCACATACTAGACACGTGTTCTACCCCTGAGCTACACCTCCAGCCCTAATGTGAATTTTTATAATGTTTAAAAACATAAAAGCCAAACTTCTACATTCCTTTCTCTTTTCTTTACCACACAATGACTTCAGGCCAACACTGACAAGGAGTATTTTAAATATGAATGTTCTTGCTTCCTCCTGCCAAGTACTCTGAGGTACTTGGAAAACATCTCCCCCGACCTCTCTCGGTGCTGAATTTGTTCCTTTCCATTTAGGAAACAGATTTGTTCCCTGTTTTGAAAGCAAGAGAACACTTTGCTTCAGTTTCAGGAACTCCCAGAGTCACCAGTGCTGAAAATGTCCCTTTTCTTGGAGTTGGGCAGCCTCAGAAGGAAGTGGCAGCCACCCAGAAAATGCCCCCCACCACTCCACAGCCCCCACAGAGCTGAGCCCCCAGAGGGCCTGGACCAAGTGGAGTCCTTGCTTTGCGCGCCCGTGCCCCACGCAGCCACTGAGGGAAAACAGAAGAGCCTGGGCTTGAACCAAAACCTCCTGCTGCACACACCTGGCTGGGGTTTGTAAAGGAAAAACCCACTTTTGCATTTCACAGTTTTATTTGCAACCGGTGGACCAGACGGTCAAGCACCAGAAGGAGCGGAAAGGGGGGCGGTTTTCGAAAGGAGTGACTGAAGGCAGAGCAAGAAAGGGGCCCGGAGAGCGGGAACTGAGAAGAGACCCGGATTCCTGCTGCTTGTGGTGGGGACCTGGGGGTGTAAAACACCCTGGGACGCGTGGTTTGTGGGAAGTCTGTGACTGCAGGGAAGGGAAGGTGGATGCCTCGGTAGGTAGCGCTGTGTGGGACGCAGTAGGCGTTTCCCGCAGGTCCCCTGCGCTTTTACCGGCACCTGCATTTGGCCACCAGAGTGGCTCTCCCGTGATGGGAGGCGCTGCCTGGGGAGTTTCTGAGGCCTGTGAGGAGAATGGGAGGCGAGGCTCCCGCACCTGGGGAAAGAGGTGACTTGTCCCCAAAACGGTGAAAATTTAGCCGTTCTCAGCTGCATTTCAGGGTGGGTTACAGGGAGACGCATTCGCCGTGGCTGATGTTTCTCCCCCCACTTTTGCTCTCGTGTGCGGAACCCAGGCCCTCACCCACACTAGACGAGTGCTCCGCCCCTGAGCTGCATCTCCAGTTCTTTTATTTTTGTTTTGTCTCGATTTTTTGTTTTGTTTTGGTGCTTGGATCAAACTCAGGTCCTTGTGCTTAAGAGGCAGGCGGTGGAACTACTGAGCTAGATCCTCAGCTGCTTTGGGGGGTTTTTTGAGACAGGGTCTTGCTACAAAATCCAGGCTGGCCTTAAACTTGCTATGACGCCCAGGCTGGCCTGGAACTCAATCCTCCTGCCTCACCTCCTAGGTAGTTGAGATTATAGGCGCGCACCACCGCATCCCACTTCTTTATCCAGTCTGCTGCAGGGGATGTGTTTTGGGGCAGATTCAGCTTGTGTCCCAGGAAGTACACAAGAGAGAGGGTGGACTTTGAGGGCACAGTGGGGAGGCCCTGGAGAGCTGTGGGCTGAGGTGGCACTGACTTCTCAGAGGTGCCACCCTTGCAGGCACAAAGGGACTCGAAGATATTACCAACGAATTGTCGATATTCCATTCTCAAAGTAGAATCCATTTGTTTCACGCAATTTTAATCTTCTCTAGTAAAGCATGCTTTTGTTTCAACATTTAAACTTTACCATTTGAAAAACTGAGGCAGGAAACATGTTTTCCAGGATGACTGTTGTGAAGAAAAGCACATTTGCAGGGCTGGCAATAACAGGTGATTTGCCAAAGGCAAAAGGGCTTCTAATTTATGTATTTTTAGCTTTTGCAGTGCCGTGGATAGCCCAGGGGCTTTTCCAGGGAGCTAGCCCTGGTCCCCTACAGAGATTTTCTTTTCCCCTAAAGAGTTATTTTGTTTGTTTGTTTTGTTTTTTGAGACAGGGTGTTGCTATATAGTCTAGGCTGGCCAGGAACTAACAGTGATCCTCCTGCCTCTGCCTAAAGGACTATTTAAATGTTAAACACATCTCATGTTCATTACTAGCTGTGGGAGATAATCAGTGTAAGGGAACACTGACGCTCAACAACTAGGCCACACACACACATACACACACAACCCCCAGAGGTCCGACTGGAGACTTTATTCAGGGAGCCGGAGCAGAGAGGGAGGAAGGGAAGAAGAAGAAAACAAAGGAAGGTTCTTCTATTACTTTTGGGCTGGGCTATTGATTATTTATGAGGAGTGGGATACTTTTAACCTATCACAGGCCAGGTTGCTTTTTATGGGTCCAGCCCTGCAGAAGCAGGTTTCAACTTCTCTGGACCCCTGTGGGCTTGAGGGGAGGGAAACCACACATAAGTGCTTGAGGTCATTTTAGGAGTCAAGAAGTACCCGGAGAATGCAGCCTGTGATGGTGGCGTCATAGCACACTTTAACATGATCAGTTCCCTAACAGTCAGCACACTCTATAAAGTATCCTCAGCCAAGCCTGGTGGTACCTGCCTCTAATCCCAGTTTGGGAGGCTGAAGCAGGAGGATTGCTGCAAGTTTGAGGCCAGCTGGAGCTACACAGTGAGTCTGAGGCCAGCTGAATTGGGTGCCATAATGATCCCCTGTCTCAAAACACAAAAAACAAACCTAAATAAATACTAAATATAGATAACTGAGACTTAACTTTTCTCATTGCAAGAAGAATGTGTGTATTTCCAAGAAAGTGTTTGAAAATACTGGTAAGAAAAAAAGGATGGGGAGCTGGGTGTGGTGGTGCACACCTGTAATCCCAGCACTCAGGAGGCTGAGACAGGAGGATCGCTGTGAGTTCGAGACCAGCGTGGGCTACATAGCAAGTTCCAGGTCAGTCTCAACTACATAGTAAGACTCTGTCTCAAAAAAACCAAGCGAAACAATAAAGGATGGGGAGGAAATACTACCACTTAGAAATGATTGTTCTGAGCCTTTTATTGTGTATTGTCCATGGTTTGCAGAATAACATCCACTTTCCAAGAACAAAAATTACAACAGTTTAGTTTACTGATCTCAATGGGATTTGTTTTGTGGTTTTAAAATCCAGTAGCACTTCACTCAATAAAACAGAAAAAGCATTCTGATAGGCTGAGCAAAATGAGCTGGTTTTATAGACAGAGAAAGACTGAAAGAAAGCAGGACAAAGAACAGAAAGGAAGCTACCTGTGGTAGCTCAGGTCTGTGATCGCAGGTACTCTGGGAAGCTGAGGCAGGAGGGTCAGAAATTCAAGCCAGTCTAGGCAGCTTAGTGATTCACTGAGACCTATGTCTCAAAATAAAAAATAAAAATAAATTTAAAAAGGGCTGAGGATGTAGCTCAGTGTGAAGGCCCTGGGTGGTTCAACCCCAAGTACCTCCCCGACACACACATAAGAGGGAGCGGGGAGATCAGGAGTGAGGAATAGCCCAGTGGCAGTGTGCTTGCCTAGCAGTTCTAAGGCCTCAAGCTCAATCCACCAGCATGCAAAAAAAAAAAAAAAAAAGAAAGGCCTATCAGTCATTTCAAAGTTACTTTCATTACAGGTTAACATCAGGATACTTCCGGTTACTCTTTATAAGGATTGAATCAGGATGTAAAGATGAAAGGCAGAGGAAACTTCATTGCTTGGCCAATTGGCCTGTTAGGAAAACTTAGCTGTCTCTTATTTTTCTGATTGCTCCAGTCAGGTAAGAACTTTGCTTAGGTTTGATGAAGTGGAATTTAGCATGAGTGACTCATTTTGGTTTTTAGTCTGACCTGTCGGGGCCTGGTGTGAGAGCTTAGTCCCAAACAGTGGCCTCCTATAATTTTTAGTTACCACTTTCCAAAGATGTCCACATCCTCTAACTTAGAACTTGTGACTAAGTTAGACAATAAGGAAAAGGAATTAAGGTTGCCTATCAGTTTACTTTAAAAAGAGATTTGCCTGGTTTAGCTAGATGGGCTGAGGGTAATCATGAGGGGGTCCTGACTGTAGATCAGTGAGACCCAATCAGGCTTCCACAAGACAACATGTGTGTGCTGTTTGTAACCACTAAGTGGTCATATGTATGACGGCCACAGGAAAGGAAAACAGGTGCCCATCGAGGTCTTTTCTCTTTGTATATATACATTCAACATAAAACCCCAGAACCACAGTGTACATATTTTTTCATAAGATGTCATGAAGCGACAGTATAGAAATAGTAAAACAGGGGCCGGGGATTTAGCACAGTGGTTCTGCTGCCTGCCTTGCAAGCACAAGGACCTGAGTTCGATCCCTGGTGCAAAAAAAAAAAAAAAGTAAAACACCAATCTGGGGCTGGGGGTGTCGCTCAGAGGTAGAACATGTATTTAATTCACACAAGGCCCTGGATTCAATCCCCAGGATGTAGGCAGACATGCACTGATCCCCAGTGTACAGCTAGTGTCACAGAAAACGTACACCTACCTGATCACAGGCCTGGTCAAAAGTTCAAACATCACATGGCCCAGAGCTGGCTATCCTCTGGAATTCCCTTAACCGTGAGCGTCTTTCCACTGTTACAACTAGACAGTGATTTTCTTAATTGATTGTCTTTGGTTGCTTCCAAGTTTCGGCTATTTTGAGAATTAAATATACAAGATGCATCAGGCTTCTGTTTTACATCTGCCAGCGGTAAAAATCCGTGACACGGCCTGCTGCCTGGCTTCGTGTGTCATTATCAGCCCGACAAGTGCCTGTTTCCAGAGCTACTTCCATAACCAGTCACTGGGCGGCGAGGCTCTCTAAAAGGGATGGAGGAAACCACTCTTGGAAATAGTTGTTTTTCTTATAGTCCTACAACACAGGCGGCTTCCTCTCCCCGAAAACTGGCAACTCCAATGCATTTCCTCTCTGGATCTCAGAGCTCCATCAACTGGCCCAATTGTTCCGGAGGAACAGTCACCACCGTTCAGGGCTTTGAGTTCTAAGACAGGAACTCTTAGGCATTCCTTGGAAGACAAAGGATGTTTCTCAATGAAAACCAAGTAAACACAGCCCCCTCCACACTATTCTGGGTAACAGACACTGAGCTGTTGGCCTATAGTTAGTTCCAACTATTGTGTTGTTTGCACAGAAAGAACGGAATTAAGAAGCCTGCGGGACACAGAATATTCCAAAAGAAATGTTTGGGAGCCTATGGGTGGAAGGAGTTGTGACATCACTTTCTAAAAGCAGGAGTATTGTGAGATCAGCATTTCATGCATTTAAGTAGTAGAAGCAGCGCAACCTGCGAACTGCCTGATGACTGGAAATGAGCAGAAAGTACTTTCGGACTCTTGTTTAAGAGTATATGGAACTCCGCACACTTCCACAGCTAGGCATTAAAGAGACAAGCAGGGGCTGGGGGTGTAGCTCTGTAGCAGAATGTGTGACCTGAGTTTGAGCCCGGCACCAAAAACTAAATAAATAAAATTTAAAAATAAAAGGTACAGAAAGTGAAGAGCAGATACACCTTTGAACAGTTAATTTCAGCTCATTTTCTTTCAGAGGGAGGCAGTTACTACTGAACCATCAGAATCTGTTCTTGGGGTGACCACAGTTTTAGCAGAATGGAGATGAAGCGATGCATGTATGTTCAATAGTCTTATCCTCTGACGCATTTCACTCTCCTGTGAGGAGGACCGGGGAGCCACCTCTGTCCCCATGGTCCAGAGAAGACTACACCATCAGTAGTCCTGGCTCCTCTAACCAGAGCTTCACATCTGCTGGAAGGGGCTTGTGATCACCTGGTCTAACACAGAAATCCACAACACCAGACGGAGCTGGTGGAGGAGCCAGACAGTCCTGACACTTAATCACCAAAAGTGTTCATTGAGCCAAGTGTGGTGGTACAAGCCTGTAATCCCTGCACTCTGGGAAGCTGAGGCAGGAGGATAGAAAATTCTAACCCAGCCTGAACACTTATTGGCTTACTGAGAATTTATCTCAAAAAAAAAAAAAAAAAAAAGGGCCAGGTGCGGTGGCGCACACCTGTAATCCCAGCACTCAGGTGGCTGAGGCAGGAGGATCGCTGTGAGTTCAAGACCAGCCTGGGCTACATAGTGAGTTCCAGGTCAATCTCAACTACATAGTGAGACCCTCTCTGAACTGCCCCCTCCAAAAAAATCAAAATAAAAAAAATGAAGAGGTCTGGGGACATAGGTTAGTGCAAAGGGCCCAGGTTCAATGCTCAGTAATGGCAGAAAAAAAAATTACAGAATGTATTTAGTTCCCATTACACTCTTACCCAACAGGCCGGAAAGAACTGTTGAGAGGAGGAAATTAAGTGAGTGTAAGTACACGCATCAGGCAGTGAGTGTGTGGCAGAGGTGGCCTCAATGACATAAATGTCAACCTCAAATCATGATGTTTGGTGACTGTGGCAAACATACAACCAAGGAACAAAGTCCCTTACCAAAGGCACACAAGGTGTTGCTGACAGCGTTGGCACACGCCAAAGAGAGTTTGAAAACCAGCTGCGTTGTAAAATAAGCCTGGGCTGTTGTCAGTAAGAAAGCTAAGGCCAGCACCTCGCACCACTGGGCATCACCAGGGACACCGAGGAGGGACAGGCGGGTCACACTCACACCTACCGTGTCTCCTGATCGATCGGGGCTACGGATGACTCTGTCTTTCCTCTTCTTGGTCTTTCTCAATCTCCTCCCCTTCCATGTCTTCATTAACTGGGCAAGACACAAATGGAAATATAGACAGCTTGTACTTAAAATAGTTTTAATATCTGTACACTTTTTGTTTAAAACCACATTCGTGTGTGTGTGTGTGTGTGTGTGTGTGTGTGTGTGTGTGTGTGTGATACTGGGTACTCTAACCACTGAGCTATGTCTCCAGCCCTTTACATTTTTTATTCTGAGGCAGAGTCTTGCTAAGGTCCCCAGACTGGCTTCGAACTCACAATCCTGCTGCCTCAGCCTCTAGAACAGCTAGGATCATAGCAGTGGAGACTGTTTTTATTTAGGGCCAGAGAGTACAGTGCTCCCCCCCCCACAACCCAGCCCCCACTGGCGCTGTGAATTTGCGGGTGACAGTCCCTACAAAGCAGAGATAAGCAGGACACCATCTCAGCAGTCTGCTTTGATCATTACACCAAGAGAAAGTGAAGCCTGAGGGCAGAGTGGCCCCAGTTAAGTTAAGTGGTGCTTAAGTGGAAGCTATTTTCTGTGGGTAGCTTTGTTCTCTCCCTTGTGGGTCTGCGGTGGCTTGCTGAATAAGTAAGATTCTTCATCCTGCCCCATCTGAAGTCATTAAAACTCTTCTTTGATCAGCTCTTTGTTCCAGCACATAAGCACTTCCTGGGTGGGAAGTTACCACTTTAGGGGATAGGTGAACGCTTCCAGGCAGAGAGACCCAAACATCACTGCTCCTGGCCTCCGGCAAGGCCTGAGAAGGGACAGAAGGGACAGGGAAGGGTGAAGACTCCTCAACTGGAGGCCTGAGCCTGTTTCTCTCCTAACTCAGGAGGATCCAGGAACTTTCACCTTCCCCTTACTCGGAGGAAGGCAAGTAGAGGGTGATTTCCTTGATTCACAGCAAAATTAGATTTTGTTTTTAAAGGCCAAGGATGTAGCTCAGTGGTAGAGCATGCACAAGGCCCTGGGTTCCAATCCTAGCACCAAAAATTTTTTAAAAAGGAAAAAGTAGGTGAAGGAATATCCAGAATGAGGAATAAGAGGTCTTTACCCCTTTTCTCCCCCCGCCCTGCTAAATTCTCCTTATCTGCCTAAAAGCAGAATGTCCCAAAAATCCAAGGGTCATAAATCCCTCCTAACAGCATTTTAGGAGTTTTACAACTAAGAAGATGGACTCCCCAGGATAAGAAATCACCGACACAGACACTTACAAACTCAGGTAGCTCCCACATTAAGAGTCTCCCCACCCTGCTATGGTGGCATATAAAAGCCCCAAATTCTAAACATTTCCTTGAATCACATTTTTCCATGAACTCCTGTGTAAGTGAATAAAAAACCTGGTCTTTTCTCTTGCTGGTCTGGCTTTTGTCAGTTTAATGTGTCGTTAATGAACAGAAGAAAGTACACGAAAAGTTTTTCCTGTATGACAGAGAAGATAATATCCTTGGACTGTAACCACACCCTCATTTCATCTTTGGAAGTTCTGAAAGTTCTGTAAATATGGGAGAAAGGGAAAGACAGTGGAAAGGGGGTGGTCACCATGATTTATTCATTTATGGTGCCAGGATTTCACCAAGGTTTCCCATGTGCTCAGTAAACACCGTGCCCCTGAGCACTCCCCCAGCCCCTCAGTATAATTTCTTACAAGCCCACTAGGTCCCAAACAGTCTGCAAACGTGACCTCCCTGAGGCCTTCGTTTTACCCGGAAGTGGGTCAGCCAGGGGTAGTGACAGCCCAGTATCGCAGGCCACTGTTTGCATTCTCTTTCACAAACACTGTGTGCACACTTGGGCCCCGTGCCGTGCGCCAGAGACACAGGGGTGAGTGAGTGGTCAACGTGGCCTGCAGTCTCCTTTCTAGGTAAGAGGAGACTGAAAAAAAAAAAATCAAAGCATACAAATAAAGATGCCCCCTGATGGTCATGGGAGGCTGCGTTTCCTGCTGCTGTTAAATAAAAATTACAGGAGGTCACTGATACGTACGTCGTCGGAGCTCTGGCCCCAAAGAACCAGAGCAACTGCAGTCACCATGCTAAAATTTCAGGTCACCACACCAAAACTGACCTTATCTGACCTCCAGAGAAGTCAAAGGCAAGGGAGAGAGGGAGGGAGGGGAGGGGAGGGGAGAGATGAGGGAGAGAAACAGAGAGGGCTGGGATGAGTCTCTATCCGATTCTTACAAGGGAGGTGGGGGAGGCTGGATTGCCACCGAAACAATGCTTCGAACTTGAACCTGAATCCTGGGGAGCACCTCTGTGGTTGGAAGCAAACTTTCCTGGAGGAGTGAGGGGCCCAGGAAGAAGCCTGCATGGGGGAAAGGAAGCAGGGGAGCTGGTGGAGAGCAGATCACAGGCCTTGGCTGGGCCGTCCCATTCCCCCAGGGCCCCTGCACTGAGGCTGGGTGAGGAGCTCTGTGGCTCCTCCTTGGGGCACTCTGGAGTTGGGGAACCAGAATCTGGAGGGTGAAAACAAGCCTGGCAGCCCAGGCATCTGTGGGGCTCATCCAAAGTCACTGAACTGTTTTCTTTCGGTTTTTATTTTTTGGCCCTGGGGATCGAACTTGCTGGCAGCTGACAAACCATTGAGTTAAATCTCTGGCCCTTAAAAAAACACTTTTTAGCCTTCAGTTTCCCAAGAGCCCTCAGTTCACAGGAGCTGCTCCCCACCCCACCTCTCCAAACCCCCAGGCTCCAGCTCCTTCCCCATCCTTTGAACTCCTGGACTCTCCTTCCTATATATCGGGCAGACAGAAGGGTCCTTTTTAAACCAGTTGCGGTGGCTCACACCTGTAATCCCAGCACTCAGGAAGCTGAGGCGAGAGGATTGCTGTGTCTGAGGCCAGCCTGGGCTACATAGTGAGTTCAAGGCCAGCTTGAACTACATAGCGAAACCGTCTCAAAACTCAAAACGAGGGGGCGGGGTCCTTTTCAGTGGAAATGTTTTCTTCCTTTGGTGCTGGGGATAGAACCCAGGGCCTCACACATGCTAGGCACACCCTTCCACTGAGCTTGTCACCCCCCACCCCTTTCTTCTGGCTTTCATGGAGGCCCTGCCCCTGGCCCTTTGGTGAGCATTACACATTTACCCTTCACAATCCCTGTGACAGCTGCAGCCTGGGTCACACGTAAGGAAAGGGACCCTCAGATTTGGTAATTTAGGCTTTCCCACCCTGGCCTTGAGCAAAATTAAATTTAAATTTTAAATAGAATACTGAAAAAAAAATAGAATATTGCAATCTGTCACAATTCGGTAAAAATACAACGCACAGGTTGGTGCTACCTCAGTATTACTGGCTAGGGTGGTGACTCAGGGACACAGGCCCTTGCAGAGTCCCTCCGCCGGAGAGTACCTTTAAGTCCCTCCTTTCCCGGTGAAGCAGGTCTTGCATATGCTCCATGACAACCGCCCTCCTCCCTCCCAGGATAAAATTAGACACATCTAATCTGTCATCTTGTTTGTACCAGGAATGTCACACCCGGAAGGACTGTACTTCCCTCGAGAAACCACGGGTTGCAACCATACAGTGACGTCACTTCCGGTAGCCGGGCCTTTAGATGGTCTTGGGTTCATGTTAAAAGGCAGTTAGTGAAGAAAGTCTAGTCCTGATTTTCTCAGGTCCAGATGAAAGTTAATGCTGGCATTAGTAATTATACCCTGTAAAGGCAAGCGTAAAAACTACAGCACAATTTTCCCTGCTGAGCACAAGGGAGTCTTACGACCCTCCCTTTTCTTTCAGAATTTGAGTCCTTTCAAATGTGTGTAAATCTTTTTGTTTACTTATTTTTTGGGGGGCCATACCAGGGATTGAACCCAAAGCCTTCACACTGATCTACATAGTCAGCTCTTAACATTTTTTTTTTTATTTTAAGACAAGTTATTGTTAAGTCACTAAGTTTCTCAGGCTGGGTTCCAGCTTGCAGTCCTCCTGTCTCAGCCTCCCAGAGTGCTAGGATTACAGGTCTGGGCCATCCCACTCAGCTTTCTGCAAATGTGTGTGAATTTTTTAATGGCTAAATCTCCCAGGCTCATCACTTAGGGATGTTTCCTCTAATACTCCATAGCCCATCCTGAGCTAGTGGGCAGGACGCCGTATGTCCTGTACCTGAGGGAGTCCTGCCACCTGTCCAGAACAACCAGGTTGCCATCATGGCAGAGTTTGGCCACGGAGCTGGTGAGAAATGTATCTGCTCAGGCCCTGCTGAAGAGAAGCTGCTTCCTAACAAGGTGTCTGGGCTTTTTCTGCACATCTGACCCAAAACACAAGATGGGCCTTCTACACAGAGATTTAACTAAGACAGTGGTTACTCCTAGTCAAAATGAGGCACTACAAAAGACTGGCCTAGCTGAGTGTGGTGGTGCACGCTTGTAATCCCATAAACTGGGAGGTTGAGGCTGATAGATCTTGAGTTCGAGCCCAGCCTAGGCAACTTTAGTGAAATTCTGTCTCCAAATTTCATAAAAAGGACTGGAAATGTATGTAACTCAATGCAAAGGTGCTGAGTTCAATCCCTAGAGCCACAAAAGCCAATGAATAAATAAATAAACAATTTAAAAAGAAAAGATTGGCCTAAAAGAGGCTTGCGACAGAGCCCTTCCTACCTGGTCTAATTTCTAACTCCCTTCTGGGAAGAAGCTGGCATAGCCCGGAAGTTTTCAGGAAACCAGCGATCCAGTCATTTACTCTTTCATTCTCCTGGCTGACTGGCCAGCAATTCTTCATTTTCTTTGGTGGTGTTCAGGATGGAATCCAGGATCTCACCCATATTAGGCACATCCTTGACCATTGAACTGCATCCCAGGCCCAGTGATTTTGTACTTAGCCTGACAATGATAATGCAGCCTTTATAGTCTTTCTTTCTGGTACTGGAGATCAAACTTAGGACCTTGTGCTTGTGAGGCAGGTATAGTGCCACCGAGCTAAATCCCCAGCCCAGCCTTTATATTTTCTTTTAAAATACTCCTACCTTAAAATGAACCTCGGACTTGGTCTACTAAAGCAGCACCCCTTATGCACAATACTGTAATAAAAGTTTAAC